ATCCATCATATCATATAGATACAAAATTAAAGAAAATAGAAAAAAAAATTTTTCCCTTGTGATGAGAACTATTAGTATTTCCTTTCTTTTTCCTTCTTTGGCTGCGTTGGGTCCTCGTTGCTGCAGGCTTTCTCTAGTTGCGGCTAGCGGGGGCTACTCTTCATTGCAGTGCACGTGCTTCTCGTTGTGGTAGCTTCTGTTGTTGCAGAGCACTGGCTCTAGGCACGCGGGCTTCGGTAGTTGTGGCATGCAAGCTCAGTAGTTGTGGCTCGCAGTCTCTAGAGCGCAGGCTCAGTAGTTGTGGTGCATGGGCTTTTTTGCTCCATGGCATGTGGGATCTTCCCAGACCAGAGCTCGAACCCGTGTACCCTGCAAAGGCAGGTGGATTCTCAACCACTGCGCCAGCAGGGAAGTCCCAGTATTTACTTTCTTAACTTTCATATGTAACGTCAGCAGTGTTAATTATTTTTTATTATGTTGTACATTACATCTTTAGTACTTATTTATCCTATAACTGAAAGTTTGCACCTGTGAATACCTTCTTAAGAGAATTTGAAGTAGGTCATATAAGGTACAGATTAGATATATTTTAAAAGCAGAAAATGAGAATAGAAAAGTAATTCTGCCAACTTTAAATGCCGGTGCATTGAGCCCACGCTGGGCTCCTGGTCAGATGAGATGGAGCTGCAGGCGGGCCTGCCTTCTTCATTCTCACCTGATGATCCCATCTGAGTGACTCTTTTTTGGTTCTGTGTGTGCGTGTTTTCATATATATGGAGATAATATATGTTCAGTAAGTGCATCCATAAGTCTTCTATTAATTGCTATTTAGATTACCATTTGAAACACTGTATCATATTTAACCAACCTGTAATTTTGTAATCTAAAGCGTTTTTTCCTGCATGTTTTTGAAAAAACAAGAACTTTGGGTTTTTAATACATGTGTATATATTTTAGGGCTGAAAGACTTGAAAGTTGAAGATGACATCTCATTGAAGGTGGTACCTATTTTACCTGCCCTTAATTGTGCCCTGCTGGAAGCAAAGAAATCATTCCCTGAAAAAGGAATCTGTCCAAACACATTAGTAAAGCATAATCTCCAAGAACTGTACAAGGTGGACAAAAGTCCTTCATTGACTGCTGCTTCTCAGGATGGAATTAAAGAGACTGCATTCTTTGGCAAAGTGTCCAGTGGTTTTGACTTGACTCCTCCAGCTGAAAAGTGCCCTTTACAGTCTTTAACTCAGTTGAGATCTTATTTTTCAAATCCTAATGGGTACATTTTGGAAGTATCTACTGCACTAGACTTATTGGCAGAGTGTCCTCAGTCTCCTTGTATTTCAGATGGAATTTGTGATGCTGGATTTTCTTTAGTTATGACTCCAGATGCTGAATTTCACAACTCAGAGGCAGAAGTAAGAAAAGAAACAGAAACACAAAAGAATTCTGAAGAGATGTTTAAAGCAAGGCAGGGAGCTCTGGTCCCATTAAGTCCAGCATCAAATCTGAGAGTTCAGCATAAGAGAAAAGCAGGCACGCTGCCCGTGGTACGGAGTAAAAGGGTGAAGTTGTGCCGTCCCTTTCCCAGAAGAACTCCTGCTGGAGCAAACAAGCGTCCAGACTCTCGCACAACTCTCAAGTTTCGTCAGAAAAGAGAAAACGGTAAGCATGGTCTGTATGGATTTTCAGATGAGCAATTAGTAATAACTGTTGTCTGTTAACCCTGTTCCTGTGTGACCATCCTGGACTGTA